AGGATGGTATCTCTTCACTGGGAGATGCTTGGCCAGCCGGCCGAGAGTTGTCTTGCTTCTTCGTCACCCCTCTCAGCATGTTTCACAATGTCTATCAGTCTAAGACTCCAAGAAACAGCTGTACTGATTCAAAACAATGGGAGGCTTGCTGGCGGCTGAGAACGCGTTCCGCCGAACAGCGCGTGGGCGCCTCTTTGGAATCGAATCAATGGTGTGTCAGCCGTCTTATTGTTGCGCTTCGGTTTCGTCCGACGCCTTCGGCCCAAACGAACTCCCCGGCCCGTTCGTTAATTGTGGAATGGTCTGGCAACACGTCGCCTTCGGCCCCGACAGGCACGGCTGGGCGGGGTTGGCAGAAACATGGAGAAACATGCAATCGCTGTTGTTCTTCCCACAGGACCGGCTCAAGGTCTCCCTTCACACATGTGTGACTTACTTCGCACAGATCTGTTTCTCCTGGCGGTGTATGGAAATAATGCGGATGAAGTTCTCTCAAGACTGCAAACCCCATTGCATGCGCGTCGCAAGAAATGAGCAACTGCACCGACTGGAAAGCTGTCCGCCGTAAAAAAAAAGAAAAGAAAAAAAGAAAAAAAAGAAAAAGAAAAAAAAGGCAAAGATGGTCTCCACAATGGGCACATCGAACGCTTAAGACACATCGAAGCTTTCTCCAAGTTGAGCATTTCCAACCGTTCGGGAGCAGTCCCTTTACGAAGAAGAATGTTAGCTCGATATTCTCGTTTCGGTAAGAGAGAACATGGCAAGCTTCACAATTCGTTCCGTTTGATTACGATGGCTCCTCAGCTTCAAGCTATCCGCAGATCTTCTCCGCGCGTCACGGGTGCTCAGCGTAGAGTAGCCAGCGTCTTACAATTGGCCGCCAGGCCTGTCGCCCCGCTGTAACACAGGACGCGCTGATTCGAAGAGCATTTTCCTCATGCGGAAAGGCGCCCATCCACCGGACCCGGGCCGTGAATTCCTCTCCAAGGACCCTCAAAAAGAGACAGTCCCTTGGATTTGATGTTTCCAAAAAGACACCCCCAGACCCGAAACCCCAGCAGCTGTAAACATGTACACTCTGGGTCTGTTCTGCCTTCCTTACCCATGTCCTTGTAATGAACTACTAATGCCACGCGTTAGCTTTGCACATGCGCCCTAGGTGCCTTTGATACTGAACTGACACCCCACCCCGCCGTCCATCGTCCACACCTCGTCTGGTACATGGGCGGAAGTATACGCAACGACGACGCAAAGATCTATACCATGATGAGACGATCGAATCTCATGCCGTGTCCAAAAAGCAAGCAACATGGTAAGGTAACATGGCAGGTCGCAGAAAGAATTACTGTTAGGGCTGTGGCCTTTGCAGCCATGTCACTAGCCTATGCTAAGCATGTTTCTGCGATAACATCCTCCTCATATCATAGAGCTCCAGTATATCTCTTTCACACTGTTCGTCTTACAGCTCGCAACTATTGTTCCATTGCTGTCTTCTTTCAATCTTGTCCGACAGAAACCCTTGGTCTGACCACTCGCAGTGGCTTTCTGTCCCAGTCACACACAACGGTTCACCCGGCATGTTGAATCTGACAAGATCTATCAGATAACCATATTAGCCCGAAGCTGTGTATCCTTGTCACATAGATCCTGCACACCATCATCAGCTGCGGCCCGGTCTTCTGCTCGGCATAGGTGCTTCTAGGCCCGATACCGCTCCAACCCGGACATGTCCGTCATCTGATCGCGGTACAAACAGACCTCGGTACTAATAGGTACTCCTCATTGAAAGATCCGGCGAACAAAAAACGAACGCAATGGAAGTCGAATGCGGACAGTGGAGTGAGCATGAGCAGCCGTTGTGGCCCAGGGGGGAAGAGCCAGACAGGCTGGTAAGTTGACGCCGGCATGTTCCACAGGAGCACCTATGACAGAAAGCGAGAGAGATTGCTAACACACAACTTCAGCACTCAGGAAGCTCGTATTTTTCGAGCACAAGCTTGCCAGAGCATGTCGGCAACCCGGCGTCGCAAGGAGCAGAGCACTTTCCTTCGTTGTTCCCCATGACAGCAAATGGAATGGCTCAGTCTCCTCGCAACGGAGTCACGACGCCAGTAATGCATCGTTTCGGCGGTTTGAACATGCTCGGATCTGGCGTCAACATGGATCCGCCACCTATGACTGCACAGTACTCTTGGGCGCAGGATGTTGATGGCATGTTCACTCCTTCGCACCACATCAATGCCCCCAATGTTTTTCAGTCCCCTATGTACATCCCTCTGCAGCATTGTGATTCTGCGCCCTCGGAGAAGCAGACTCTACAGCCGCATACGAACACGTCTACGAGATTCCAGGGCAGTGATACACGCATCCAGTTTTCGGGTTTTGGGCATTCAGCCGTCCAGTACTCTGCAGACATCCATCCAAATGGGGCATATTCGTACCGCTCGCCGCCAGAAAGCGAGACAAGCTCACAATCTTCACAAGGATCTCCTCCTGAATCTTTTAGCTACCCTTCACATGGAGATTCCATTCCCGGCGAAGCATCGAAATCGCCGTTGCTTGAACAAGAGCTCCCAGGAGACACACAATCTACGATCCCTGTTGACCCGGAGCTTGGTCGGCCTTCGTCTTACTTTGCGTCAAAGATGGCACATCAACCCAGGCTGAAAGCTCACATCCCAGCAAGTGTTGACTCCCAGTTGATGCCTCCCCCTTCAGCTGTTCCTGCGAAGAGACATTTGGTGGACCTGGAGGCGGAGGAAGGGCTCGGCAAGGTTCCCTGTCGGGGCGGCCCCTTGACGCAGAAAAAGCGAATGGATGCGGCATCGACGAGGAAGTTGGGGGCATGTATTCGTTGCAGGATGCAGCATTTGACGGTATGTTTTGGTCGAAGGTTACAAGTTGTCCAGCAGAAGCTAACCCATTCATCCATAGTGTGAACCTAACCCGGAGCATCCTGAGGGTCCCTGTCTCACCTGTACAAAGCTCAACAGAAAGTCGCCCAAAGTCGTCCACAGGAATCTCTGCTGTCGGGCCAAAATGGGCGAGATCCAACTTTCCTTGCCATGCAATCTAGGCATCACAGAACGAAAGTTTCAGAGCCTCGCAGAGCACGACCTCACTGATGATGAGTGGATGTCCAACAAGGTTGAAACGGTTCAGCTTATGACTAGAGGATTGTGTCGACATCCCCTCAACATTCGAGTGCGACTTTTCTCCCAAGAGAGATACGACAGACTCAACTATTCGATCAGGACTAGATCGGGAGATAAAGAGCACATGCATCTCCCGCCGTACGCCTTGGCCAATGTAAGGGATACGAGGCGCTCCTTTCAAGTATACTTGGACGAAAACTTCATTACTAGCTTGAAGGAGCAGATCGACAAGGAAGGCACTCATCCGATTATCAGGGAACACTATTTGGAGGCTCTGATGCATTATGACAAGCTTTGTGACGACTTCGATGAGGACAACAAGGAAAGACAAATTCTCAAAGACTTTTTCAAGCTCAGAATGGCACTCCGTAAGTGTTTTGAACAACAAAATCTCTTCATCGAGATGAGAACGACTCCAAGCTGACTTTCAAATGGCAGATCACTGCATGAGTCCTTCTTGGGTGTATGATGAGTCTACTGGAAGCCACAAATGCCTCGGGGTCTACAGAGTCAAGGACGAGAAGCATCCTCTTCTTCACCGAATCCCAACGCCTCGAATGATTGTGGCTCAGCTTTACGCGATTGTTTGTACGAAATTTGTCGACACACTTACCGAGAAAGTGCTCCATAATCTTGAGCAGCTCTACAGCAGAGCGAAGTTCCAGCCGTTCTTCACAGTCTATGTGGTTACCTTTCTACTTCTCCATGAAGTCTCATTGACTGTTGGCCACTGGAAAGATGGAAGGGAGGTTTTCACCGGCATCATAGTAAGTTGATTTCCATTTGTTCGTGAGCAGTCTTTCATCCTGACATTCACTCACAGAAAGAGCCAATGCTACCTCAAACAACAGACCCTTTTGTCACCAAAATGTGTCACAACGCAGAGATTTTGTTATTGCATTGGCACTACTACAGAAGGAAACCCAATGCTTCGGTTGCAGGCGACAACTTCTATGGCGACGATATGAACAAAGGCTTTCTGTCGGACGTCTCTGGAAGTCAGAAGTTTCTTGTCAAAAAGACTTGGGTTGACCTGAAGCAGAAGTTTACAAACGAACCTTTTGATGAAAATGGTACTCTAAAATGGTCCAAGTTTGTCACAAATCTTCGCTAACATATCTATCAGATTTCCAAGGCTCGGGTGGACTTGAACTTGACTTTCATCCCCTTTACTGGGCTTCGCAGATGTTTGTTGAAAACTGGGTACCCTTCCAACGCGTCTCGGCCCGTCGCCAAGGTGCGTCCATGACCTCGCCGTGGACCCCAAGAACGCCACCAGAGATACCATTGCTGGAAGAGGATTGCCGCACCTGATCCAAGCTGACAGGAAGGAGCTCGTAGAGCTGAGTTTGAAATGTCATGCTATCCACGAATTGACGAACTCATGTGGGGGATGAGGGGAAACATTGAGTGGTTGATGTACCTATGGCGTTGATTTAGTAGAGAGAAACGTGGTTTCCTCCGCATTACCGTACTTTGAAGACAGCTTTTAGGTTGAGAGTGTGTCTGGGTTGGCATTCTGTTTTGATCACCTTTATTAGGTCATTACGATTCAATCCTGTAGGCAACAATACATCGTTTTACTTTTTCGCTTTATATGGATATTTAAACTGTCACCTTCGAAAGGTTGCATGCTAGCTTTGTGAACTCCAAGAATTTCACCCGAATTCATCTCGATATAAGTCAATAGTTCTGCACATATTATACAAAAGATCCCTCGATTAAGCCTAAAGCAACTATCATCGTAAAGCCAGCAAAGCTCGTCATAGTACATGAAACTATCGCGCCTTCAGTGAGTGGCTTTTTTTGCTACTTTTCCCAGATGAGGACTTGTGCCTCTTTGCGTTATACTCTAAGTCGACTCTGTAGTTTGAGCCTCGGCCTGACGATGATGACGATGCAGATGAGCCATACGAAGTGCTGCTACCGGCAGACGACTTGTAAGAGACGCTGCTCTGTGATGAGGAGCCGGAAGTCGACGTTGAAAATGCTTCTGCGTCCTCTTTCACTGGAAGGAGTCCGTTGATCTTGGACAAAGCCGAGCCTCGACGATGAGAGCGGGTAGCGGAGCTGTACCCAAACTTGCGACTGGCGGTCCCCTTGCGAAGCTCGCTGAACGTCATGTCAGGGGTTGTTGCACGAGTTGGGACTGGGGTGAGCGGTTAGCTACTCGGCCGGCCGGCGGGAAAATGCGGAGGATTGCTTACGATAACGTGCACATTCAGCGCAACATCCGTGATCGCATGTCTTGGTCTCCTCCGTCGACATGCCGTTAGAGTCCTGCACTGGCTTCGGCATGGTACACCAGCCCTGTGTGTTGGGTCCCTGACCACACTGGCAACAAGTCCAAGTTCCACCCATGGCCTTATACTGACAGTTAAGGAGGGGGCAATCGGCATTGCTGGGCTGGGCGGTTGCATAACTCAGGTGGGTGCAGGGAGTCTCCACGCCGGTCTCGAGGTCGATGAGAGCCGAGGGGCAATAGTGCCAATTGATAGAGGTGTGGGAGCAAGGATGCCAGCGAGGATGACCGTGACACATTCTGGACTGCTTGGTTACTGAAAAAGAACGAGTTGGCCTGAGGGACGGGAGATCTTGAGTGAAGATATACAGCGACTAACAATGCTGAACAAGACAAGGCCACATCATGTCACTGCATGCCACCTGCTGCATCTTATATACTCTGCGTGATCTATTTTCAAGCATTTAGTGGTAAGGTCTTGTTTTCTCGAGCCAAGAGCACCCGAAATGATCACTATTCCACTTGTTCTGCCGGTGGACGCCTCACTTGGTTGCTTTTCCCACCACCTCTGACACGCATTTACTTCTCGCCAACCATCTCGAACATGGTCACGTTTTCGCATCGCATCTGTCATCATGGCTGCTTCACCGACAGTAAGGATTGTGCTACCCTGCAGTGGAGATGGCCAAAGTTTACTCCATCAGGACCCAATGTCTCGGAACTCGATATTGGTGGATATGGTGGTGTGAACAAGGTGTTGTACAGCTACCAAGCAGGCAGAAGCCTTGTATACATTGTCCAATAGGATTCCTACGCGACGTCGCTCAAAGACATCGAGGACACCGTAGACAAATCTGGGTGAAGTCCCCGACGGCTACCTGTAGCTGGGGTTACACCGATCCACAAGTATTGAATCACGGCGATCTCGTCAAGCCTTCCTCGGTCACACAGCTTACTCTCCTTTCGATGAGTGGGAATTACTCCACGAGTCAGCGATCAGTGGAAATCAATGCCGGTCTCCCGGTGCCTTGGGTAATGGAGATCTTACTCTCGATATGGTGAGCAAAGTGTCTCGTATTCACCTTGTTGGTGGGGTCTCACGATAATTGTGAGACCATGGGGCTGAGATGGAGCCCGGGGCCATGGTTTGCGAATCGGCTGGTATGGCATCTGAGTGGACAAAAGCAGCACTGCGCACGGGTGTTGGGGACGATGTGGCTGGATCGAGATGCAAGAGTGCAGGATCTGGAGGCTTATCAAAGGTTCCTTCCACTTGGATATCTGAGAAGCACCCGATCTCGCATTTGCAGTAGCTTCAGGCGTTTTGTGCGAGTACCGGCAATGACGGATCTCAGGCAGATCCGTAGATCACTCATCACTCGGCCGAACGTCAGGGTTATTCGTGAACATGAAAACGGGTTAGAAGAATAATACTTGGTTACTAGGTATGATTGCCACTGGAATCGTCTGATGATCGTCAACCTTGAGTAACCTCTCCATGAAGATGTCACTCCAGTAGGGCTTAAGATTTCGTTATCTCTCGAGAGCTGACAAAGTTCCCCATGCGCACTTAAGCCCCGTTCGACTCCATTGCGAAGGGAACTCCTTGAAATCAAACAATAAGTAGTTACATCATTACTTGAGCAGTAATAAACGACACAACATCCAATAGTTTCCATGCTCACTGAATCGATTACCTGATATCCTGGACTCTGAAGAATGCTTTCCTTTATCCGTCCAGGGCAGCCGTGCAAGTGTTGCAGCAGATGTGCTCGCAGCGATACTCATTTCCGTCAATGATCATGACGCAGCTGCAACGACCTCCGTCGTTCCAACCCTTGCCACACCAGCAGCAGTTCCAGCAGCGATTGCGCATCTCGTAGGGGCAGCTCTCGAGGGGGCACTTGGGCAGCGGCCGCTGGTCATATCCAGGAGGAGGAGGGTAAGGGATGTTTTGCTGGGTGACGTCTCTGCAAGTCTTGCGGTTCGATGAACTCTTCTTCGAGGCAGAGGGTGCTTTGGAGCAGTAGTTGGTTTGTGACTTGACGTGCTCGCACGGAAGCTTGTAGGAGGTGATGTTGCACATATTGTCTTGTTTCGGAGTTTTCGGTGTTTTTGAGAAGTTTATAAGATGAAGATTACGACTTTTAGAGAGACTTCGAGATCTCAGGGGTGCATAAGCAGTATTTAAAGGAGGTTTGATGAGTGCTCATGTAACGAGGGAAAGCTGATGACTTTCGGATCTACTGCTCTTTAACTTTGCGAAATACGAGGCATCTCATCTTGATCTTTATAGTCGATGCCTACACTGCGGATGTAGGACGGTTCGCCGATAATTTCTCCTCTATCCCGAGTTTTCGAATATTGAATGACGTGGAGGCGGCCACGATCTCAACTATTTCCCTGTCGATCAGTAACCCTCCATCTAGATGAGATCTATCCGAGAGCCCGTCGTGTTCCGTCGCCAAACTGGCGAGGACTGACTCGCAAGATGCATCCAAAAGAGCAAATAGTCTGAGGGTTATTGAAGAGAAAACGTGGCAGCCAGGTTTCTGATATTTGTCAGTGGCCACTAATAGCTTTTACGAATGACTCTGAAGTCCGGAACCGGGTCCGTCACCGGTGGAAGAATGTCAGTATATCGCAAATGATTCCAGGCAAGGCAAGCATGCGAACCATGTGTATGAAACATGCAACTGCAAGGAAATAATAATGATTGGTCTATCTTGCACAACAAAGTATGAAGGCTCCCAAGCCATCCCGAATTCCCTGTTCAGCCTCGCGCCAATGATGGACTGTTGATGACCGCCTACTGTTGTAGCCGGCTTTCGGAGGCGTCCCTTGTAGCGTCCCTTGTAGCTATTGATCCACGTCGAGAAAGCCCCGACCTTCACTGTGACTGGCCCCCTTGCGATCTTTGTACCACATACTTTCAGCTCTCGGAGTGCGGCTCGTATGTCTAGACTCCGCTAACCCTAAAAGGTAGGTCCACATCAGATACCGAGCACTTGGATATGACAGCCGGTGACTAGCATCAGTGGGCATGTGGCGCTGTCTAGACTCCGGGACCCAAACTTCTTCTGTCCTGCAAGCTCTTGTAATCTTGCAATTCTGACAGACTTGAGGTCCATCTTTGCTGGGCTTTTCGTGTATTCCTTCCTCGTCAGTTTGTCATTGCTTATGAACCGAAATGGCTTTGAAAGGCTCTAGATTTGTGCCGTGATTTTAGCCGAAGGCTGCTTTCATGTGGCGGAGTCCGGAGTGCAGTTCTGACAAACTCGGTGGTAACAGAAAGTGTCTGGACTTTTCTTCATCTTGTGCCGACACCATCGGAGAGAGTTGCTGCCGCGGCTGCATTGGCAGCATATCCAGTGCCCATTGAGTTCCTGAAGGCGGCAGTTACCGGAGCTGCAGTCAGGTGAGATGAGACATCCTCCCGTAGCGCACGGGTTGTCGAAGTCGATCGACTGAACTGGATCGTAGAAGACTCTCTCGCACGGAAGTCGAGTTCTGCCGTCAGAGTCCACGCCGGAATCCCGACAGAACTCGTAATGCACGACGTAATCGATCGGCCGAGCGCAGGGCTGGACATGATGATGGTGAAGGTAAGAGTAGGTACACATTGTTATGTCTTGCGACTTGCGCACTTGTGGCCTGATATCTACGTATCGATGTGTATGTTTCGAATCAATCGACTGGTTGAGTTGCTTTTGTGTTCGGTACTTTCAGACACCTCGCCCTTGATTAGGCAGTATCGAGCGATCAGCGGTCCGTACCGAATAACGAAGTTCGTGATCGGATGTCGAGGTGACACAAACTGGTGGGCCCACGACGAAATTGCTTAGAGCTATTTGATTGGGCTTCCTGGAATGATTATGGCGAACTCTCGGCGAACCAGGGTGAGCGGTTGCGATGAGGCCGGCGGCCGACTCAGACAATAAATAGATATTTTTGCCTGACCGAGTCAATGAGGACAAACGGCCTGCATATGCAAGGCAATAATCAGCCAGGGATTTTATGGTAATGAGAATGGAGTGCTGAAGCTCTCAAATCGAGATTGAGGGGTCAGAAGCGAGCGTTTGATCTGTGGGCTTCCGGGTTGAGTTGCTTGGTGAGGGTTTTCTTCATGTTTGTGAGTGGAGTATCACTGGTCTTATATGATCATGAGAGATGAACATCTTATCCATAGTGTCTTCGTTATGGGCCACCACCGCGTGCCTCCGGCCTCAAGGATGATACATACTAATCTCGCTCACTCGGCCATTCATGATGTCGTTCTAGGGTGCCAATCACCACATCTTGCTGGCAGTCGCCTTGCCATAGACATGAGATGGTATGATTCTGGTACCAGGCTTCAATAATTGGCCGCCATTGTCAAACCCGTGGGTCGCAATTCCTTCCTGTTCTTCCGGAGGATGGCAAAGCACGTGGCGTCCGCATGCTCACCGGCCCTGCACCCGCAGACCCTTTCAGAACATACCACCAGTGAGAGAAAAGAAACCCAGACAAGGGGGCGCATAAATGTAACAACACGCGAGCTTTGAGAGGCCATCTTCCAGACTCCCATATTGGAGCCACATGTGATGGTCGTGGCAACGAGCCACAGGTGCGAGAGTGGCTCTTCAGGATTGCGTGTTTATCCCAGCTACCACGAGCGTTACCCTCCATTGCAAAGCCTCCTGTTTCAAATACCGGGCTTACCATGGAATTCAACCAGTTTTCATGTGCCGATGGAATATTCCAAGGGCATTCTGGAATCTAGTTGGTGCGGAAGATGTTTGCTTCTGGCTTGAAGTTCGTGCGACGAAATGTACCCCAGAGTTGCCTTATCACACGACGTCGTTACTTGATATGTTATCACAGCTTATTCCCAGTGATGCTCGAGGTGTCAGTGTCAGTATGAGTCAGAATAAGATATTTGTGATGAGACTGACAGGACTTCATGTTGGGGATTGATTGCTGTATGAAGTTCATCGGTGATCACATCATCATCGTCTCGGAAATGGTACCCTTGCTCCCACAGCACGAAGCACTCGCACTCCGACCAAACCCGTCG